ATCTGCATTTTGGGGCACCCCAAGCCCAGTTAACACTATGATCCTTGCCGAGTCATAGAGGTACTACCTTGGTGATCTTGGATAAGATCCTGAAAAATTCTCTGGATTACCAGGCAGAGACTCTTGTTCTCTTCCCGTTCTTTCTCCCAAATAAAGTCTCTGTCTGCTTCGAGCCACCTGGAGCTGGGGATAGGATTATACAAGCAGCCCTGTGGTCACCACCACTGTAACTGCACTGGGTCAGACCTGAGTCCAACACAGCACTGGGTTTCACCAAAGGCCCACTATAACTACTACCTATCTCTTATGTTCACTCAGATTCCTAGGGCTGTGCAGTCAGTAAGTGGCAAAGCCAGACAGGCTTTTGTCCTTCCTTTGAGGGTGGTAGGTTCCCCCAGGCTCCAGGTAAGTCCAGAGATGCCATCCAGGAGTAAAAACCTGGAGTCAAAAATTCTAGAAATCTACCTGATGCTGTGTTCTACTGTGACTAAGCTGGTGTTCAAACCACAAGACAGCATCCTTCCCATTCTTTCCTCCCTTTTCCAAAGGCAGAGGAGCCTCACCCCATGACTGCCACTGCCACAGGCCCATGAAGAGTGCTACTCGACTACTGCTGATGCTCCCTTAAGGTCCAGGGGCTCTTTGGTCAGCTCGTGGTGATGCTGCCAGATCAGGGACTTACCCTTCAGGGCAGTGGGCTCCCCTTTAGCCCAGGGCAGGTCCAGAAATGCCATCCAAGAGCCAAGTCCTGGAATTGGGGAAACCAAGAGCCCATTTCTTTCTCTACCCCACTGTGGCCAAGCTGGTACCTAACATGCCAGACAAATTCCTCTTTACTTTTCCCTTTGCTTTTCTCAAGCAGAATGAGCCTCGCCCTGTACCTACTGCAGCTAGGAATGTGCTGAGTCTTACCTGAAGCCAGCAAGTCTCAGAGTCTCTCACCCAAGGCCCTCGATGTAATACCTTGGTATTGCTGCTGGGCCCAAGGGCTCTTCAGTCAGCAGGTGATGAATCCTGCCAGGACTGGCTCCTTTTCTTCAGTGCAGCAAGTTCCCTTCTGGCCCAGGGTGTGTCTAGAAATGTTCAGGAGCTAGGGCCTGGAAGGGGGACCTCATGACTCTAACTGGTGCCCCATCCTGCTGTGACTGAGAATATTCAAGATGCAAGATAAAGTCCTCCCCACTCTTCCCTTTCCGTTCCTCAAGCAGAAGGAAGGTGTCTCTTTTGTAGCCATGAGATGTGCAGCCTGGGATTAGGGAAGGAGTAATGCCAACACTCCTTTTGCTGCCCCGGCTGGTGTCTCACTGGGTTATGTTTCGCCCCCCTGGCCCCGAAACCCCCCAGTCCACTGGCTCTGGGCTCAGTTCAACGCTAGGACTTGCCTAGGAGTTGCAGTCCTTGTGGCCTAGACTGCCATTAAAGTTTAATTGAGACACTAGAGCACTTTAACCCACAGTGGCTAGGCTTCTGTGAGCTCAGGAAACTCAAGTTTCAAGTGCTGGGAACAGCCATTCCTCTCTGGCTGGTTTAATGGTTAACAGTTCCTTCTGTGTGTGGTGCCAGCTGAGTTTTCAGGTTTTGCTTTCTGCTATAGCAGGGTGGCACTGCCTCAAAGTTGCTATGTTCTCCCTCTCCCCAGCGCACAGAAATGCTCTCTCCATCATGCCACTGCCGTCAGGGAATGGGAGAGGGGTGGTGTTGGGGATTCAAAATGGTTTTTCCTGCCTCTTCAGTGCCTCTTTGAGTGATACAAAGTTAAAACCAGGTAGAAAATGATTGGTGAAGCCTTGTATTCTGCTATCCTGCTCCGACCGTGACCACCTCTGTCACTCTTTTTTTGAACACAGCTTGTTTGGTAATAGGAGGTAGTCATGTTAAGACTTGTTAATTAAGGAGCATATTTTAAATAGTTCTAATTTGCTCTTAGACTACATATGACAACATCTTCCCTATGGGACAATAGGACTAGATTTGGTAATAATGTTTTCTATCCTGCAGATTTCCTGTCTCTGTTCTTTGGCTCCTCTTCATGCCACCACCATCACTGCAACTGAAAAGACTTCTTACTTCAGAAGTTGGGCAGAGTTACTAATATCTACTTCCCTTGTAGCCAAAGGACTTCTCTGTTATGTTAATATAATTTGTTAAGGAATGCCCGCCATAGAGAGTCAAACAACCTGGGTTTGAATCTTGGCCCTGCCACTGGCTATGACTGTAATCACTCAGTCTCTCAATGTTCTTTCCCCGTTCTGTTAAATGAAAATAAAAACTGTTGTATTGCCCTCATGGAATTAACTGGAGAATAAGGTGAAATAAAGTATCTGAAAGTGGCTTGTAGACTCTAATGTGCCAGGCATTTGGGGAATGAAATAAGTTCAGATCAGCAGCAGCTCTTTTTTTCTTTTTATTTAAGCAGTTGCAGTGTGCCAGGCTCCACGTCAAACTTTGAGGATTCTAACAAGATAGCATAGGTCAAGAAGGTCTTAAATCAGGCTTTTCTTTTCCATTCCTTAATACCTTGCCTAAGTCCAGGTCCTCATCATCTCCTTTGGTTTCTTGCTAGGCCTCCTGAACTGGGCTCTCTTAAAAAGTCTCATCACTCTTGACGTCATGTCACTGCTTCTAGAGTTATCTCTTCAAAAGCAAAGTTGATTATGTCACCTCCATAAAGGTTTTACTCTGTCATTTGTCCACTGCCCACAAGACAAAATTTAATTTCTTGACCTCAGTTTACCTCCAGTCCAGCCTCATCTCCTATCAGTATTTTCATATACCTTCAGCTTCTGCCTTACTGAATTTCTCCATTTTCTCTGACATGACAGGGAAGAGACCAAGTCCCAACTCTGATTTTGCACATTTAAGTCCTCAGCCTGGAAAGCCTGCCTCAACCTTCTTCAACATTTTTGTTATTTCAGACTCGGTCGTGACTTGGACTCCTCTGACTTGAATTCCCCAAGGAGAGTGAGCTCCTGTAATCTTATCTGTTCCCATGGCACTTTGTTCTTTCTTTGATGTGATGTATTTTATTCTGTGAGCTCTTGAAGTGCTAGCATTTAAGATAAGATAATGAATAAGGCATCCTGCCTAAGAAAATGTGGCAGATTGAATGATGGCCTTCAAAAAGATGTGTCCACATCCTAATCCCTGGAACCTGTGAATGTGACCCTATTTGGAAAAAGAGTCTTTGCAATGTAATTAAGTAACTAATTCTGTTACGGTAATTATGGTAATTTGTTACAGCAGCTCTAAGGAACTAATGTATTAATAGAAGGTTATGGTATAATGGCTGGAACATAATCAAATACTATTGTCATCACCATCAGTACCATTACTATAGTCGCCATTACTCTTATCACCTATCATGGAACCTGAAAAGTAGTATGTGCTTAGAAGATAGTGGTTGAATAAAAATACAGTTCTTGCCTGTGGGATTCCAGTCTGTTGGTAGTGGTAGTGGTGTTGATGAGAAATGTGCTTAAAGGTGGTATTGAAAGAGAGCTTTCAAAGTAGACTCCCTCTTAAAGTTTTGTTTTAAACGTCTTTTTGTGTGTTTGTGTGACAGGTGACATTAGATCTTTTAAAATTGTTTTTTAGAAACACTTTTGTACATTTTGAATTGTCCTTTTAGAATAAAGCTAATTTTGTACAAATAGACGTTATAATGCCCACCCCCCGCAATAGAGAAAATGTTGTTTTTGGAAAACTGATGAGCACTTATAATTCTACCAGTTTAAAAAATCTTAAACTATTCTTTTTCCCTAATAGAATGTTAAGTAACTAAAATTAATTTCATGTTCATTGGCCTTGAAGTACCATTTAGAGGTGTATCTTGGAGCAATAATTTATTCCATCATGCCACAAGGTGCTTGAAAATCAACCAAAATTTACAAATACTCATAAACCCAAACTGGGTGAGTTACATGTAACTGTAAATTTTGCTTTGCTACTGGAAGAATTATTACCAATGCTTCATAACTTGGTGTAATTAAAATAAAAGCTAAGGTTAATGGAACTCTTACTCCATGGTAGACACTGTTCTAAGCTTTTTACAAGAATTGTCAGTTTGTTCTCATAACCACTCTGCTTTCGTACATATTCTCTTTACTCAAGAGGAAGCTGAGGAATGGAGTGGTCAAGTAACTTGCCTAAGGTTATTTTTGCTTAAATGGCAGAGGTTCATAGTGACCATGGCTCATAACCTCTGCACTGCCCTGACTCGGCATACCATGTCAACTTTCATTCTTTAATACAATTTGAAGTAGAGAATATCAGTATATCATCATAAAAAAGATCCTTATCTAATTTCATAGTGGTTCAAACTTTAATGTGAATCTACAGGAATTCTGATTAGTGGGGCTGGGAATGTGAATTTTAAATAAGCACCCAGGCGGCTCTGACTGTACTTTGAGATACACTGATCTGGTTACTACACAACTCCTACAGTTCACTTATGGCTTATTTGTGTGCTTTAAGTTAGGCTACTTTTTGCATACATCTGTGTTCAAGGATGAGTCTATTGAATACAAACATGTATCTAAACCTAAGTGCCCACCCTAGTAATCACATTTCTTTTTGTGGAGAGTGAATACAAGGACAGCATCAGAGAGATTCATTTCTTTTACCTTTTGTATGAACTTCAGAATCTGGTGTATTGACCTGAGGAAACTGTTAAGATGAATGTAAGAGAAAGCATAACATAAAGTTTCTACCCTAGTGGTATTTTATATATTGTTTTTATTAAAAGAAAATGTTAATGTAAATTCCCCTTCGCGGTAGAGTAGCAGTTCCATTATTTGGGTTACTCCGAATATTAACTGTGGCCATGGAGGGAGTCTTCTCTTTTAAGTTTATTTAGGAAGAAAACTTTCACCCATTTGTACTACCAAAAACTCTGATTATGTGTGGTTTAGAATATGGGGGAAACACTAGGCTTTCAAATTTTACTCCTTCAGTATTTTAGTTATATATCAAACTGGCTAACATGTTTTTCTTTCTTCTAGGGAGGTCACAAATCACATTGAGCCAAAACGCATACAGTGTTTTCTTCAGTTACAAATAAAATGAATATGCCCATGCTGCTACCACATCCTCACCAGCATTTCCTAAAAGGCCTTTTAAGGGCACCTTTCCGATGTTACCACTTCATCTTTCACTCAAGTACTCATCTTGGATCAGGAATCCCATGTGCTCAGCCATTTAATTCTCTTGGACTCCATTGTACAAAGTGGATGCTGCTGTCAAATGGTTTAAAGAGAAAATTATGTGTACAAACAACCTTAAAGGACCACACAGAAGGACTTTCTGATAAAGAGCAAAGATTTGTGGATAAACTTTATAGTGGTTTAATCCAAGGGCAAAGGGCCTGTTTAGCAGAGGCCATAACTCTTGTAGAATCAACTCACAGCAGGAAAAAGGAGTTAGCCCAGGTGCTTCTTCAGAAAGTATTACTTTACCACAGAGAACAAGAACAATCAAATAGAGGAAAACCACTAGCATTTCGAGTAGGTCAGTCTTTTTATGTGTGTTTTTTCAGTAAATAGTTTTGCAAATTCTCTATATTCTATTTAAAATAAAAAAGTCTAAATAGTTTGCAATTGAATGGGGACTTTTTTTCACAATATTTGGATGAATTTTAAATGAGTCTTCATGGCAAATATTAGTTTTGTTAAGCTGAAAAAATTGCCATGACATTTGAACCAAGGCTATGAATTTTAAGAAAAGAATGTAAGATTTTTATTTTGGTAAGAATCTTGCTCTGGATCCCAGGATAGAAATATTCATAGGAAGAACTACTATGAGTTTACTCCTATTCCTTTTAGTAATCCTTTGGCTTAAATAGTTTAAAGTGAGTTCCCTGTTTTGTTGTCGTATCAACTATAATTATCACGTTTCAAAATTCTGCCTCTTAGGTCGTTCATTAGTCTTTGTATAGGCAAGTCTCATTTCTTTCGGGTACTTTTTATTGAGTTTCTGGGAGTGGCTGTAAACCCAGCCATCTCAGTAGCAAAAGGTATTTTATTTATTTTTATTTTTAATTTATTTTTTGCGACAGTTTTGCTCTGTCACCCAGGCTGGAGTACAATGGCACAATCTTGGCTCACTGCAACCTCTGCCTCCTGGGTTTGTGCAGTTCTCCTGCCTCAGCCTCCTGAGTAGCTAGGATTATAGGCATGCACTCCCACGCCCAGCTACTTTTTGTATTTTTAGTAGAGACGGGGTTTCACTATGTTGGCCAGGCTGGTCTTGAACTCCTGACCTCAAGTGATCCACCCATCTCGGCCTCCCAAAGTGCTGGGATTACAGGCATGAACCACTGTGCCCAGCTATTTTGTTTTTAGAGATGGAGTCTCACTCTGTCACCCAGGCTGGAGTGCAGTGGTGATCATAGCTCCAACATCATGCTTGGCTCCAACATCATGCTTCCAACATCATCCTTGGCTAATTTTTTTAAAAAGTTTTTTGTAGAGATGGGGTCTCATTATGTTGCCCAGGCTGGTCTCGAACTCCTGGGCTCAAGCAGTCCTCCCACCTTGGCCTACCAAAGTGCTGGGACTACAGGCATGGGCTACCATGCCCAGCCTATCAAAATGTGCTTTAAAAAAGAGATCATATTTATTCGTTGTCTGTATATTAGATGTTCATTTGATTTCTTGAACAATTTGACGTGGTTCTGAAATTGCTTTTGAAATTGTGCATTGTAAAACAATTTAGATATGTTTGACTAGCAGGAATTAAACAAGCCAGTTTAAGTGTAATGAGAATGTCCCAGGGTGGTGAACTAGGTGATTTGAACCAACCCTCCTGCTAAAAACAACTTGCCTTGGTGGTTAAAGTGCAAAAATTTTGTGGAGAATGAGTAAACACTTTTAAAATTTCATGTCACATTACATCTTTATCTCACAGTTTATTGGCAATGCAGACACAAAAGCCTCCTAGTTTTTAGGGTAATGGGCATAGATGCTTTAAGATAATTTCAAAAGAGCTCACCAACCAATATTTATACTGGTCCCCATTTTTCAGACTTCTTAATCTTCTGCCCTGACTGAGGGACTCTCATTTTGAGAGTACTACATTGGACGTTAATAATCTTTATGTATGGTAATCAAAGATATTAGCAAACTCCCACAGAGAAATTCTAGTTATGACAAACTGCCTACTTACTAGATTTTAGAGAATCTTTGAAAAAATGTCTCAGAAATGTGTGGAATTAACTAGCAGTTCACAGGTAACTTTGTAGTGCTATTCTGGTTCTTCCGTCTTGATCTTGTGAGGCCAGATAAACCTGTCTTTATTGCAGTGATTTTTTTCATCGTAAGTAAAAGCAACAGATGTTTATTCAGCATCTAAAAAGGTGTTTAAGATAAGTATTGGATCTGCCCTAAGAATTGTGGTAAGGAGTCAGGCATACCGTACACTATACATACTTTGAGTGTAGTTAGTTAAATGCCTATGTTTTATATATTTCATTTAACATACATTTATATATCTCTTACGCCATGCACTGTTCTAAACATATTGCAGACATTAACTCATCTAATTATTAAAACAATCTGAAGAGAGAAGTACTGTTACCATATCTATTTTATTATTGCAGTGGACACTGAGGCATAGAAAGAGGTTCAAAGTAACTTACCCAAGAGCACACAGCTCGTGGGAGGTAGAGCTAGAATGAGAGCTGGCTGCGTGGCTTCAGGGTTTGTGCTCTTACCTGCTGTGCACTGCCAACTCTCCAAGTGGGGGAATTTTCTGATTTTCTTAACAAATTATTTTTTTCAGAATTCAGTTTATATTCTTTGAGTTACGAGTGATATGAAGAAAAAAGATGATCCCTTATAAATAGAGAATTGCTTTCTCAATCACTGGGAATTTCTAGAATAATGAGTTGTTTTTCCAGTGGGAAGAAGTATACAGAACTGAGGTAGGTAGAATAATTACTGATCATGATGCAAGGTGGGCAGATATAGAAATTGAGCCCATTAACAATGGAGACAATGAAGTCTGTCCAGAAAGATCTACTTTATAGTACAAAGGCAAAGCATGTTTTATAATTTTTAAAAGTGAATTTTGTGAACATGTGGAACTCAGAGTGTTTCCTTCCTAAAGCCCCATTACTCAGGAATTAAAGAAACAGATTTTTATTTGCCATTTTAGGACATGCTGAAATATATGAATTGTGGTTTTAATACATTAGGGGAACTAGAAGGTAGTCTAATATTTTACTCAGTAAAGCTGATCATAGTTCTGATTTCATTTGTTTCATTGAATTAGAAGATCTCTTTCCACCATAGGGTTGTCTGGGCCCCCTGGTGCTGGAAAATCAACATTTATAGAATATTTTGGAAAAATGCTTACTGAGAGAGGGCACAAATTATCTGTGCTGGCTGTGGACCCTTCTTCTTGTACTAGTGGTGGTAAGTATGGCTGATTCTTTTTAAATTGCAGAGCTCTAGGGGCTTTCTGTTATAATTTAGTAGGAATTGGCACAGTTGGGTGACCTCTAACTGCTAGCTAAGTTTGGTTTCGCTGAAGGAAGGGAGTTCTGCAGAGTTAGGTGGAAGTTGTTTGGGAGTGTTGTCCTCTTCAGAGGAGGCCAGCTTGTGGATAGCTCAGTGGGCACTCAGAAAACTGCGACAACAGGTGCCAGAAGTTGAAGATGATCAAATGCAAATTTCAGTCCTTCAGCTCCCATGCATAAGGCCAGGCCCCTCTTTGCTCCTGTTGTGTTTCCTGGCTGCATTAGCACCTGTGCAATTCACAAAATAGGTACTTACTCATGCATCATTTTCCTCATTGTTTTAACATCTCTTAAGCTTTAGAAAAACCTTACTTCTAGGGGCCGGGCGTAGTGGCTTACGCCTGTAATCCCAGCACTTTGGGAGGCCAAGGTGGGCGGATCATGAGGTTAGGAGATAGAGACCATCCTGGCTAACATGGTGAAACCCCGTCTCTACTAAAAATACAAAAAAAAATTAACCGGGCGTAGTGGGGGGTGCATGTAGTCCCAGCTACTCGGGAGGCTGAGGCAGGAGAATGGCGTGAACCTGGGAGGTGGAGCTCGCAGTGAGCCGAGATCGTGGCACTGCACTCTAGCCTGGGCGACAGCAAGACTCTGTCTCAAAAACAAAAAACAAACAAAAAAAAACCACCTTACTGCTGTTTATAATTGTCAACTGTTTATATAATATGTTCAGTTAAACAGAAAGCTCTTAGAGGGGCACTGTAATATACTGCCGTTCCCCTTACGGCATTTAGCATAGTACATTGTATGTCGCACAGAATGTTAAGCAATTACTTTCCGATTTGAGGTCATGAAGTCACTCAAAGTTTAATTTGCAGCTCATCAGAGATAAAATGAATATAAACTTAGTTCCCCAAAGGATCTTTTAAAGAAAACAGAAAGCATACCATATAAACAGGAAAGGTTTTTTCTTGCCTTACCCCTCTTTATGATTTAAGCTTTTCATATTACAGTTACTCACTTATTTGAGTATTTGAGTGCTTACTATAGGTGAGGCATTGTACATGGAAGATTCTTAAACTGTGTTATATAATGGTGAACAAGATACAGTCCTGGCTTTCGCGAGGTTTACATCTTATGCGAGAAACACAAACACAGGCCATTACAATACAATGTGTGTTGCGAAGGGGTAAATACAAGATGCTTTATGGAAGTATTTGATTTTTGCATACTGTATTATAATGTGGGTTTAATACTAAATATTCAGAATGATGAAGTAATCATATTTTAGGGACTTAGGTTAATATAGACGTGGACAATTCCTATTATCACCCCATTGAGAAATCTAGCTTAGAACATTCAAAATTTTTGAGTCACTATAATAAAAAAAGTTAACTGTAAAATAAAATTTTTGCTCACAAGGTTCAAAATTAAATCCATGTCAGTATGTTGTCTTATTTACAGCTTTAGAACTTTGTTAAAAGTAAGTACTTAATGAAGGATTTTTTAGTAGGTGGCCCTCATTTATATATAGGTGAGAAGGCCATTCCCCCATTTTCACAATATTCTAGAATACTGAACAATAGAAAAAAAATAATAGTTTGAGATAAAAATAGACAAAAATAATGTAACAAAATAGCCTATGGTTAAAGTTACATAGCTATGTGGTTCCTAACCTTTCTCAAAAAATAATGGTCCCTTTCTCAGGCAAAAAATTATGTAGACTTTGAAAGAAAAAAATACAAGGATAGACAAAACACTCTAAATACAAATTTCTACCCTATTGTATCAGTACATAGACTTGAAAAACAGCATTACATTAAAGTTTGAGAAGCATTAGTTTTTTTGGTCTATAGTCAATCTTTTTTGTGCTTTGAATTCACAGACCCCCTATGATAGCTTTGAGACCTTCATGAGGGTCTACAGTTAACAGTTTTGGAATCGCTGTATAAGACATGGGAGAGTAATTTCCTAATGTTTACTTCAATGTGATGGAATCTATAGGATAGTAATTTAAAGTATAGCTTTGGCAGATTGTTTACTTACACAGAGATTATTTCATGCAGAAAATTACCTTAGAAAAAGGTTGTGTGAAGTAAATAAGGAAGTTGACGTATGGAGTACATGTGTGGTCTAGAATTAGAACCTATGAGAAGACTCTGAACTGGCATTTAGTGGTAAAAGAGCATATCTTTAAGAAACTTTTCAATCTTTAACATTATGTGGAAAAGGTAGCTCTTAAAAAGAGGGAAAATAAATATTCAGATTAGAACAGCAGTACACCTACAAATGTTGTTATATGACTAAAGCAAAGTAGTAAAAGGTAATAGTCCCGGGAGTTTTAGTCTTCTAGAATTTGTAAGTATTGATGTTTGTCAAAATATTATACTACAATGAAAACAAAAACATAACCAGTTTCATTCCATAGTTATTGAGTGCCTACTGTTAACACTTTGTTAAGCATTTAGTGTACAACCTATGTAAGGCGTGGTCCTGTAGGCAAATACTTATTTAAAGCGTGGTATATCAACCGTGGCAGCAGTGACATTTTAGGTCAAATCATTCTTTGTTGTGGGTGGCTGTCCTGTGCATTGAAGGATGCTTACTTAGCAGCATACCTGGCCTCTACCCAGTAGATGCCAGTAGCACCCTACCCCTCACTTGTGACAAGTAAATATGTCTCTAGACATTGCCAAATTGCCCCCAGTTGAGAACCACTGTGTGAAAGAGATAAGAATTAAAAATATGAAACCAAAAAATGTGTTGTATGAATAGTTTTCCATCCATTAACTCAGCTTACATTGCATTCAGTGAGAGCTCCACATTTTCTAAGTAGTAGGCGATTAGAAGCAACAGACTGGGCAGAAGGGGCAGCTTGAAGATATATTTGTGTAGCATTTACGTAAGGTTGAGAAAATGTCATTTGCAAAAATAAAAGAATGAGGAGTGGAGGGTGCTCATGGAGATAATAGAAAGAGGAGGGACACTAAAGTTCTCTTATGCCCTCCAGGATGCTGGCATACATTGCGGAGCTGTTGTAGCATAGAAAAATCACAGAGATGGGCATGAGCTGAAAAGGTTCCAGGCAGACTATATGAAGGAGCAAGGACTTTCACTGATCTTTATTAGGTGGATAAGTTCTGTGTTTTTGTTAGTAACGGTTTTTGAAGCACATGCCTGTATATAATTACATTTGGTTCTCCCAGTAGCATATTACCCTTGTGATGTAGCTGAGGAAAGAGGGTTCCGGAAGGTAAAGTGACCTCTCAAAATTGAACAGTGTGAAATGGTGGAGCCAGAATACAGACCCTGGGCTTGACACGCTATAACTTAGCAGTGAGGAAACAGGAGAGATACTTCTGACATGAGAGCACAAACAAAAGATGGGCAGAAGCAAACACAGTGATATTAAGATGACAGTAAAGTAACCACCCTGGTTAGAACAGAGGATTGGTGTGAGGACCAGTAGAAACCAGAGTTGGACAGGTAAGGTGCGGCTGAAGAATCTAGATTGGAACCTTTGGTCAGGGGGAAGTTAAAATTACAGGTTTTGAGGGACTTGAAATGTTAAGATTAATCTGACATCATTGTATACAATGAGTTAGAGAGAAGCTCAGTAATATGAAATGCAGTTTGAGATTTAGGGAAAAATGGCATAAAGCACTTCCCTCTAGGACCTGGCTGATAACTGACCTGTAAAACTGTTCCACGATTATAAAAGGTAACCGTATGTTTTAGGATCACTTTTAGGTGATAAAACCCGAATGACTGAGTTATCAAGAGATATGAATGCATACATCAGGCCATCTCCTACTAGAGGAACTTTAGGAGGCGTGACAAGGACCACAAATGAAGCTATTCTGTTGTGTGAAGGAGCAGGATATGACATAATTCTTATTGAAACCGTAGGTGAGTATGATATTCTATTTCATAACAATATACTATTTTATGAATGCTATATAAAAATGAGTGACAACTTATTTTTGTTCATTCAGCAGATATTTACTAAATGTGTAATTAAATACAAGATATCCCATACTCCATAGAAGATATGAATGTATAGGTTATAATCTGTACCCTCCAAGATCTTATTTTAAAAAGTAAAAATAAGCCATCTATCTGGATAACTGTTACATAGGTGGTATATTATACATGCCAGAGGAGAACCGTAAGCATTAGGATGATCTGTGTAAATGATGCTTTAGCACAACACCTATTTTGTTTAAGTATATTTCATGTGTCTACTGTGTTCACCAAGAAAATTAATGTAGTTGGCTGCCTTTTGAAAATGCAGATATGTTTTGTTTCATTGTTTTATATCCTTAGCATATAGTTACATGTGATGAAGACACTGAAATGAAAACCCCAATACATTCTTTCTTGTGGAGAGACAGTCTATTATATTACTGTGTGATAAATGTTTGTGATACAGCCTAACTCAGATTTGGGGGTCCAGTGAAGACTTTGTAGAGGAGGTGACAGCTGAACTCAGTTTTGAAGGAAGAATTCGAGTTAAAGTATGGGATAAAGGACATTTGCAAAGATACACAGGAGTGAAAACATGGCCCATCCAGAAAAGTGCGGTTTGCTCAGGATACTTAGAGCCCAGAGTGTGAAGGCAGGGAATGAAGGGAGGTCAGTTGGAGCAGTAGGCCAGGGCCAGATTGTCAGCGACCTTACATGCCATGCCATGGAATCTTCTGGAGTTTGCCCTGAAAGGAGTGGGAAGATGCTGCTGGATAAGCAGGAGAGTGAGAAAACCAGATATGTATTTTGGAGAGATCCCTGGCAGCAGAGTATAGAATGATTAGAAGGAGGGCTAGAATAGAATCAGGAGACTACTGTGCTAATCCCAGAAGGAGATGGTAGAGGTGTGAATGAAGCAAAGGAAGTAGGAATGGAGATGAGATGGATCAACATAACATTGAAGATAAATGGGCAGGATTTTATCCATGATAAGATGTGAGATAAGGAAGGAAGGGGAATTGCAGATAACAGAGAATACTGTGGAAAAAGTGGATGTGCAGAGTTCAGTTGTGAATATGTTAAGTGTTAAATGCTTATTAGGTATCCGAGTGACTGTGTGTCTCAAGAGAAAAGGACTGAATGAGAAATACAGATTTAACATTTACCAGCATAGTTCATAGTTTCATACTTTAAGTTAAGAATTTGGTTTAGATCAACTGGGGAAAATATCAGACAAAAATGAAAGACATTTATATTAATCAGCTAGGGCTGCCGTAACAAAATACTACAGACTGGATGGTTTAAACAACAGAAATGTGTTTTCTCACAGTTCTGGAGAACAGAAGTTCAACATCAAGGTGCCCATAGGGTTGGTTTTTCCTAAGACCCGTACCTTTGTCTTGTAGATAGATGACTGCCTTCTTGCTGCATCTTCACTCTCCTTTGTCTCTTCCTGTTCACTTTACTCTCCTAGTGTCTCTTCCTGTCCTTTTGAGGACACTAGTCCTATTGGATTAAGGCCACTAGTCCTATTGGATTAAGGCCCTACCCTTATAACTTCATTTAATTGCTTCTTTCAAGGCCCTATCTCCAAATAAAGTCACCTTGAGGGTTAGAACTTTAACATAGGAATGTGGTTTTTTTTCTGTTGTTGTTTTTTTTTTTTAAAGACAGAGTCTCACTCTGTCATCCAGGCTGAAGTGCAGTGGCGCAATCTTGGCTCACTGCAACCTCTGCCTCCCGGGTTCAAGTGATTCTCCTGCCTCAGCCTCCCGAGTTGCTGGAAATACAGGTGTGCACCACCACACCCAGTTAATTTTTGTATTTTTAGTAGAGACAGGGTTTCACCATATTGACCAGGCTGGTCTCGAACACCTGACCTTGTGATCCGCCTGCCTCGGCCTGCCAAAGTGCTGGGATTACAGGCTTGAGCCACCACGCCTGGCCTAACATAGGAATGTTTTTAGATGAGGGGAACACAACTCAGTTCATAACAATAGCCATGACAGGGCTTTAGAAACTCCACCATTAAAAAGTAGATGAATGAAGAGTTAGTTGTCTGAGTAGTAGTAGAGAATCAAAGGAGAAGAGCACCTTAGAAACCAAATATATTACCTGGAAATTGTATTTAGCCACCTTTCCTAGAAACTCAAAATAACAGTGACTCAAACAAGAAAGAGGTTATTTTCTAAATAAAAGAGACCTAGAGAGGGCATTGTGGCCCCAGCCTGTAATCCCAGCACTTTGGGAGGCCAACGCAGGCAGACTGCTTGAACCCAGGAGTTCCAAACCTCCCTGGGCAAGATGGTAAAACCCCATCTCTATAGAAAAATAAAAAAATTAGCTGGGCATGGTGGTGCGCACCTGTAGTCCCAGTCACTTGGCAGGCTGAGGTGGGAGGATCACATGAGCCTGGGGAGTTTGAGACTGCAGTGAGCTGTGATGGCACCACTGCACTCCAGCTGGGGTGACAAAGTGAGACTCTGTCTCAAAAAATAAAATAAAAGAACCCTGAGGCCAGGCATGGTAGCTTATTCCTGTAGTCCCAGCAGTTCAGGAGGCCAAGGTGGAAGGATTGCTTGAGCCCAGGAGTTTGAGACCAGCCTGGGCGACATAGCAAAACCTTGGCTCTGCCAAAAAAAAAATTAGCCAGGCATCATGTTACACACCTGTAGTTCCATCTACTCAGGAGGCTGAGGTGAAAGGATGACTTGAGCCCAGGAGTTCAAGGCTGCAGTGAGCCATGATCGTGCCATTGCATTCTAGCCTGGGCAACAGAGCAAGACCCAGTCTCTCTTTAAAATAAAAAGGAGCCTGAGGCAGGCAGTCCGGAGCAGGTAAGGTGCTTTGACAGTGCTGTCGGTGTCACAGGTTTCTTTTGTCTGCCAGATTACCATTCTTAGCACTCACTTTCCATCCTTCTCAGTTTGCTCATGGTTAAAAGATGGCTGATGAAGCTCTGACTGACGCTTCCATGTCCCACATAGATCGAAGAAGGAAAGGGAACTAAGGAAGCAGGGAGGAGTGGTATAAGAGATTTAGTTGGATTAGCCATCTTCAAAATACTTTTCTGGAAACCCCATCTAATGACTGTTGCTTTGACTCATTCATCATATCTAGCTGAAAGGGGATCTTGTGAATGTGGTCTTTCATCTGATACGTTGATACTCCTAATAACATTTGGGTAAGAAAATAGGAAAGAATAAATATCAAATAGGCAACTAGAAGTCCATCACACTGTGAGAGGGAGAGAGTTTCCAGAGTTTTGGTGGAAGCAAGATTTTTTTTTGAGATGGGGTATCACCATGTTGCCCAGGTGGGAGTACAGCAGTGCAATCACAGCTCACTGCAGCCTCGACCTCCCAGGCTCAGGTTCAAGCTGTCCTTCCACCTCAGCTTCCCAAGTAGCTGGGACTATAGGTACACTACCATGCCCAGCTAATTTTTGTATTTTTTGTAGAGACAGGGTCTCACTACATCACCCATACTGGAAGCCAGTTTTAAGTGGTATGAGATGAACATGAATTGAAGTGGAAGGAGTGAGCATAAATTACCTTTTTCCAGAAACTTGGGTATTTTTTTAAAAAGTGAGAAACATGGTGATAGTTGGAGGAGTTTGTGAGTTTTTGTCTTGTTATTTTGTTGTTGTTGTTTTTGTTTTATGTGGTTTTAAGATGAGAAAGATTTGAGCACAATTTATATATTGTGCCGGAGGGCAAGAGCCTGTAGACAAACAAGAGGTTAAAGATAAAAATCAGCAAGGACCCAGAGGAAGTGAAAAAGAATGAGAGATTCCTTTTCAGTCAAATAGTTCTTACACTGAGACTGCAGAGGAGGCTTTAGGCTGTTTGTATTTGTGTCTTGTTACCTGTGGAGTATGGGAGAGGGAGAAGCCTAGAAAGTTCTTGCCTTTATTTCCTCTGTGAAGTAGGTGCTGTGCTCCTGATCAAGCAGGGAGATTATGGTACAGTGAATGGTCGTAATAGCTGCTGTGGGAAATGGAATGGAAGCCAACTGAGGGCGTTTAGGGAGATTGCTTTTGCCAGGCCGTAAGGAAGATGTAGCAGAGGCTGCCTGTCGTGGCTCTTGTCCACAGAGCTGAGTGATTTCTCTCACGTGCTTATGGAGGAGAGAACACACATAGTGGGATTGATCCCTACATAATTGGGCGTTTGCAGGCAAGTGTGAGGACAAGAAGACAAAAAAGATGAAAGTATTTGCAGGCATGATTCAAGACTAGAGTCACAGTGTTCAAGCTGCTCGCTGATGAAAGGGAAGCCAAGAAAGAGCTGTGAGAGTGAGGAGAGGATGGAAGCCTTTAGTTTCTCCATACAATCCAAGAACAGAGCGGGAGAGCTGGGAAGGATAACTGGTTTGCTTAGAGGGTAAGATATGACATTTAATACATTCTTCAGAAGTGCGATGTTTAAAGAGGTGACCAGGTTGACTGTGTGACCATGAGTATGAGTGAATGAAGTTCAATGAAAATGATGGTCAATGTAGTTGAGAAAGTCTAATAATGGTGAGTATTTTAGGATATAGTTGTGATTTAAAATTTCAGGTGTGGGTCAGTCGGAGTTTGCTGTTGCTGACATGGTTGACATGTTTGTTTTACTACTGCCACCAGCAGGAGGAGATGAGTTGCAGGTAATTATTTTTATTTTTTCCCCAAAAATACAAACTGTATATCTCTGAAAATAAAAATTTCCAATGTTGTGTTTTTGTAAACTAAGTTGATAATGGTTTAGAAAATGAAACATCATTCATGTTGGCTAAAATACCTGAAACAAAGGCAGATTCTTTATATTTTTTCCTAACTTACAGGAATAGAATATATGACCTTGAGAATGTAAAATTATGCAACATAAATTTTTCCATCTGTAACATGACTAAAATACATGCATCGCTCCACTCAGAAGAGACCATTGTTGCATAGATGTTGTTAGTATACTTGATTCAAAAGTTCTGGGGATAGTGGGATCCCACTATCATAGTTTATATGTTGTACAATGGGATTTTTACTCTCCTCCTGCACTGCAGTTCTGGCACTACTACCCAAAGTTAGTGCAGACTTCATAGGGTGAGGGCATAGTCCTCCACAAGCCTCCTCTTGCTTCAGACACTAGCTGCAAGCTCCAGGGTTCCCAGGCCACCCATACCTCTGACCAACTGGCTATAAATTTGAGAGTTCCCATTATCCCTTAGGTTTAGTAATTCACTAGAGCAGTGGTCCCCAACCTTTTTGGCACCAGGGACTGGTTTCATAGAAGACAATTTTCCACAGACTGGGGGTAAGAGGGCATGGTTTCGGGATGAAACTGTTCCACCTCAGATCATCAGGCATCAATTAGGTTCTCGTAAGGAGTGCACAACCTAGATCCCTAGCATGCGTAGTTCACAATAGAGTTTACTCTTCTATGAGAATCAGATGTTGCCTCTGGTCTAACAGGGCAGAGCTCAGGCAGTAATGCTCGCCCACCTGCTGCCCACCTGCTGTGAGGCCCAGTTGCTCCGTGGCCTGGGGGTTGGGGACTCCTGCACTAGGGTGACTCAGAGAACTCAGGAAAGTATTATATTACAATTGCAATGTGCTTATAAAGGAGACAAATCAGGACCATCCAAATGAAGAGACACATAAGAACTCTGGGAGGGCCCAAATGCAAAGCTTCTGTGTCTTCAAGACACATTTCTCTCCTGGCATATTGATGTGTATCACCAACCAGAAGGCTCCCCTGAGCTTTAGTATCCCAAGTTTTTCTTGGGGTTTCATTATATAGGCATGATTGATTGAATAATTGAACTTGATCTCTAGCCCCTGTCCCCTCCCTGAAAGTTAGGTTGATATCACATGGCATAAAACCCCAACCCTCTAATCACATGATAGGTCTTTCTGCCATGGTCAGTCCCCCATCCTGAGTGATCTCATTGCATAAACTCAGGTATAGCCCCAGGCACCTCCCATGATTAACAGACACTACTGTTACTCAGGAAATTCTGGGAATTTAGAACTTAAAAGATTACCTCCCAGAAACTCAAAGACCAGACAAATACTTTTCTTTTTTTTTTTTTCAGAGACAAGGTCTCACTCTGTTTCCCAGGATGGAATGCAGTGGTGTGATCATAACTCACTGTAACCTTGAACTCCTGGGCTCAAGTGATCGTCCTGCCTCAGCCTCCCAAGTAGCTGGGACTACAGCCATGTGCAGCCACTCTCAGCTAATTTTTGTAATTTTTTTTTTCCTACAGATGAAGTCTTGCTTTGTTGCCCGAGTTGGTCTTGAACTCTTGACCTCAGGCGATTCTTCTGCCTCAGCCTCCTTAAGTGCTGAGATTACTGGTGTAAGCCACCACACCTAGCCCAAATTATTTGTTATACAATGCTTCTGTTTCAATTTTATAATTCTAAAACACAGTGATTACAGATCATGGCTGCTTATTTAGAAGCATTAACTCTTAGAATTTCATAATTGAAAGTTTTGTTTAAAAATATTTGAAAAGAAATTTTAATCTTATGTAGAAAAACCTGTATTTACTAAATAAGGTTTGACTTTTGGATTTCATCCTTTATTTTTAATATTTTTATGTGACATAATTTGAATTAAGAGATTGAGGTTTGTCCACACAAAGATGAAAGAAGAAAAATACAAAGTATAAAAAGAAATAATAATAAAAAAAGAGATTGATGGGTTTGTAGACATCAGGTTATTTTTCCTCAAATGCAGATTGAAAATAAAATGCTATATACATTTAAGGAAAATTTCAAAGACTTTTTTCTGGAAATGCAGATGTTAATGATAGGTATGTTTTCTTTTTAAGCACCTTACTGATGGATGGTTTTGCATCCTCCAGTGTTAGCTCATGAGAAGCAGATTCCATCACGAGACAATGTGAACTCTCCTGCCACTCAATCTTGTTGTGACTTGATGTATTTACCCTAATTCTGAATGTATTTCAACATGTTAGTCTCTAAATTTGGAAGAGATATTACAGACGACTTCTACAATTCCAACAGCCAATGCTTTTGAGTAATTTCTGTCAAGTAATGGTGATTCTTGGCATCCAGGGCTTAGGAGGATACAGATGAAAAGTTAATGAAATGTATGACTCTCAAAATCTTAGCATTGACTAGTTTTCCCATTTTTATGTTGGTTGTCATTAAATGTTTCTGATCTCTTTAGGGTATCAAAAGGGGTATAATCGAGATGGCAGATCTGGTAGCTGTAACTAAATCTGATGGAGACTTGATTGTACCAGCTCGAAGGATACAAGCAGAGTATGTGAGTGCACTGAAATTACTCCGCAAACGTTCACAAGTCTGGAAACCAAAGGTAAGCTTGCTTGCATTCTGTATCTTTCACTCTGAATGGATTGTGTACATTAGAAGACAGGATGTAAGTCCCAAACTAGACATATAATCAATCTTGCTTCTATGTGAAGATTATAGTTTTAAAAATCATGACAAAGCCAGAGTGTGTAGTCGTGATTTTAAATATAATCCTTTAACCACTAGATGTCAAAAACTAGATCAGAGATGATAGATGTGATTGTAATACTTGATTTGAGCCATTTGGAAGTGATAGCAAATCCATTCTGAAAGGAACCGTCCTTAAGATTATGGAGCAGTTAATGATTTGATTATCTATGTTGGAATTTGAGTAAGAGAGAAAAGGCTTGTGATGTGATACCTCCATTCTCATTATGTTTGTTGGGTGCCATTTTCAGTAAGGAAAAAAATTTTAATCCTGTAATAAGTGAGGCAGTAATATTGATGTGGGCCTCTTTATCTGTAGACAGACACTATATTATTAAAGAATAAGCTGCAATCATTATAATGAGAATAATGATGACTTATCTTACTGTCATATCCCAGTTTTTCCCAATCATGTCATCTGTATTGAGTCTGGAGCCACCTTATATATACATGCAGATGTCAGATGCCCAGCTCTTCCACTTACTAAATCAGGCAAATTTGACAGAGGGAATTAGGCTATTTCTCAACCTACCTTCATTTGCTGGCACTCAGGCCTCAGGGGAACCTACCTGGCATTGCCCTTGTCACAAGTCCTCTATGATGCCCCTGACCATCTGAGCAATTAAAATAAAATAAATTAAATGAAAACAAATCTCTGGACTTAAAATTTGACCTTGAATCAGTGTTTTATTTCTGCTATGCACTTAGTAATCCTAGGTATATTACATCAGAATATATTTACTGTTTACTTTGTATGTTTACTTTGACACAGCAATAAAGTCTCATTCTTGTCAATTGCCTATTTCTGTAGACTATAAGAATTAACTGGCAGGTATCACAGTCCCCATGAAAATGTTTTCTATCATTTTAAGTGAGATGGTCTGGTTCTTCCCTTTTCAATAGGTAATTCGTATTTCTGCCAGAAGTGGAGAGGGGATCTCTGAAATGTGGGATAAAATGAAAGATTTCCAGAACCTAATGCTTGCCAGTGGGGAACTGACTGCCAAACGACGGAAGCAACAGAAAGTTTGGATGTGGAATCTCATTCAGGAAAGTGTGTTAGAGCATTTCAGGACCCATCCCACAGTCCGGGAACAGATTCCACTTCTGGAACAAAAGGTTCTCACTGGGGCCCTGTCCCCAGGACTGGCAGCAGACTTCTTGTTAAAAGCTTTTAAAAGTGGAGATTATTAAAATTCATCCTGTATAATAATTTTGCATATCATTTCATAAAGTATTTTAATAGAAAAATCACTTGTATGCTTATATTTTCAGTAATCATTGCATGGTGCTCTTGTCTTCTTTGTTTGTGACCCATGCTTGAAAACTTGAAGGAAGTTAGATATGAATGGCAAAAGTTAGGCAGTATTTATAAGGTACCTGTTGTATGTTACTGATTTCTGTTTCATTCTCTTCTTATACCCTGGCATGGTGGCCTGTAGGGTAGTTTCTTCTTCTTATTCAAGAACACAAAAAGCTAAGGAGAGCAGAAAATATCTTGTACTTTAAAATGCTTACTTTGATTCCATGTTATCTGAATTTCCAGAGAAGATGTAAACAAGAGTGACCATATTTTTAGACTCTTTCTTGAAGCCAGAACGACACACAGTGGGTTGCTAAGAGCCGAAAATCATAATTGACATTTAGTGTACCAGATTATTCTAAGAATTTCTGAAGTCACCATGTACGTGAGTAATGAAACAACTGGAATAATGTGATGATGTGAACATAGTTTTAAAGTCTGCTTGTCTGGATTTGCAGGGAGCCTTCCCCCACCCCCCGACACGATAGGTAAGAGAGCAAAAGGAAACTGGGAAAATCAGCTACAGATAAAATGGGTAATTAATCCCCAGTTCTTGGACCCATTATATTTGTAGCCAATTGGAGTAAACCCCTAAAAGACAAAGTGAGGTCAGAATGATTCAAGGATTATTCAGTTTGAAGACTACCAAAGTCTTCTCTTCTTCCTTGGCCATTTCACTTCATTTTAGTATTTTAAAAACCTTTTTTCTTGATGGTGAATAAGTTTTGTCCTATGGAGGAAGCATAGCACAGTGATTAAGAGCTTGGGCTCTGTAGTTGGACTATGTGGGTTTAAACTTTAACCCAGATCAATCATATATTAGCTATATGAGCTAATCTCTTTAAGCTTCTGTTTCCATGGTAAAATGAAATTGGTGAATAACTTTCTAAGGTTAGTGAAGATTAAATGAAATAACGTGGGAGAATTATTTAACTGTCATGATGGTGTATAGGAAATACTCAAAGGCTGCTTACTAGCATTATTACATTAAAGTTGTGGGTACCTGCAACTGTACAAACCTGATGTATAATTTCAGTTTTCTCTCATGGTCTTGTTACTACCATCATACTCTTGATATTTTAGGATATTTTATGATTATCTTTGAAGAACCCTTTCTGGTTAATTCTTTGAATATATTTTATACTTATTTGATGGTAGTTGTAACTATGTATGTTTGAATAAAATTTCTAACCATAAAATTTCTCCATTGCACAAAAAGCCTTTATAGAAGTTTCTGACATGTTCTATTCTGAACCCTGTAGAATATTTTATGTAGTATAGCAGCTTGCATTGTTACTTACTGTACTGGTTCCTATGTGGAATCAAATCTCTTGAGCATTGTTTTAACAAACATCCCTTTACATTTTTTGGAAAGATTTTTAGTACTCCATTGGCGTAGCTATTTCATAAAAGGTTTAGGAGAAACTTTGAAAGGTTGTCCAGTTGACTTTTCTGATTTTAGAAAGGACCACCATGAAACTACCCTATCAGACAAAAAACTGGTTTTTAGAAACCTGAGATAAGGTTTCTAAATTTAATTTCCCTGAGTAAGCTGTTAAAGGGAATAACAAATCTATTGCCATATGTGGCACAGTGTAAGTAATGCTGGAGCACACGTACTGCATTGTAAAGAAGGTAGGAAAGGTGGGGGGACTTCTGTTAGCTTTAATTTTAAGGCTAAAGCATTTCTTCTCAGTCTGAACTACTTTTAAATGTTATAAATGTCATCATAAAAATCATTAGAAAACTCGCTTCTCCTTATGTTGTCATTGTACCATTGGGTATGGTATGGAGACCAATTTCTAAGAGATTTTTACCTCTGTTTCTGTTATTTGCTGTACTGGAGGTGATATAATAATAATGAAATGTAGCCTTTTTTTTCAACTCAGAAATCCTATTCCCTCTCCCCATCTGTGATTATATTGTACTGGACTTCTGACTTGGTCAAAAGCGTAGGTTTTGACTTAGATACATGTGGGGGCCGATCTCAGCTCTATCACTAACTAGCTATATGATCTTTGGCAGGTTTTTTCTCTATATGCACTAGTTTCTTTATCTGTGAAATTAAGATAATAGCTACTCACAGGGTTGGAAGTATTAATTTAGAAATTATACAGTGCTTAGCACTCAATAATTGGCAGGTGGTGGTGTAAATATTTTACATAGATATTTGTGACAGTTCTTTGTTCTATAAAACAGACTAATATTAATTTCAGATTGGCCAAGCTACTTAATTTCTCTGTGCCTCAGTTTCCTCACTATTAAATGGGGATGACAATAGTATCCACCCAGAGCAGGACTATTTTAGTATTACATATAATCCTTGGATATAAGTGCTGATGAAGTTTGGATATTTGTCCCCACCCAAATCTCATGTTGAAATGTAATCCCCAATCTTGGAGGTGGAGCCTGGTGGGAGGTGTGTGGATTAGATCGTATCTCTCATGAATGACTTGGGCTATCCTTTGGGTGGTAAGTGAGCTCTTGCTCTGAGTTCACACAAGATCTAGATCTGGTCATTTAAAAGTGTGTGGCACCTCCCCATCCCCTACTCTCACTTGCTCCTACTTCCATCATATGACATGCCTGCTCCCCTTTCACCTTCTGCCATGATTGTAAGCTTCCTGAGGCCTCCCTAGAAGCTGAGCAGATGCCAGCACCATGCTTCCTGTCATCTGTAGAACCATGAGCCAATTAAACATCTTTTCTTTATAAATTTATAAATTACCCACTCTCAGGTATTTATAGAAAGAACAGCCTAATACAAGTGCTAAATACATATTTGACAATAAACAGCAGTTATTGCTTAGAACTGTTATGAGGATTAAATGAGTTACAGTGTCCATTCATCTCAAAAAGATAATTCTGAAAAAAATTTCGTAGGTTCACTTTGCCTTGTCAAGAATATAATTACCAGGCTGGGCATGGTGGCTCGCACCTGTAATCCCAGCACTTTGGGAGGCCAAGGCGGGCGGATCACGAGATCAGGAAATTGAGACCATCCTGGCTAAAACAGTGAAACCCCGTCTCTACTAAAAATACAAAAAATTAGCTGGGCATGGTGACAGGTGCCTGTAGTCCCAGCTACTCGGGAGGCTGAGGCAGGAGAATGGCGTGCACCCAGAAGTCAGAGCTTGCAGTGAGCCAAGATCACGCCACTGCACTCCAACCTGGGTGACAGAGTGAGACTCCATCTCAAAAAAAAAAAAAAGAATATATTTACCATTAACTTCTGTAGATAGGAAAAAAATGTGCTGAGCTCTAAAACTGGCAGACATTTTGCTAAAACAATATCAAATCTCATTAAAATGATGAGAGTTATTTCAATAGTTGACATTAGCTATCCCAATACAACCTAACGGGGCATTTTCTCTTCATAATCACTCGATCATATGGCCATTTACCTGCTTTCCCTAAGCTTTTGTAGCTATTGCCCAGTGTACACTGAAGACAACAGTTAACGAACAACGTATGTATGATAATTTATGTAGTTGAAACTCTAATGCCCGAAAAAAAAAAAAAAACAGGAAAAATTAGTGAAAATCATTCAAACATTGTGCTCACCAGGTAGACTGCCATCATAGAAGTCATAATGCTACTGCTAAAAACTAGTAAACTACTAGTAAACTGTGAAGACAGAATTAACTCCTGTGATCTATAAGTTTGTGCAGATGGTGGAGCTTTGCTGCTTCTAAAGCCTGGGAAATGCAAATGTGGCTTCGTTAAAGCAAATGCTTCCTACGCCAGACTTTATGAAACTCCTCCTAAAGCTGAATTCTTACCCAAGTGGACATATGTTAGGGTGCCATTGTAATTCAGGTAGAGTGTCAGAGTGGTGACTGGTACTAACAGTAGGTGTTCTAAACATTAGTATTATTCAGATAAGACTACAAAACTGATGGACATGTCAAAACTTTAAAAGGAACAATCAGAAAAACTCTTTAACAAATGTTTTTCTTTCTATAGTATTTTAATTTATTTTTCTAAATTTTAAAATTTGCTAAATTTATGAACATTTTTATCCCACTTGAGATGAATACTTAGTTCCTGTCCCATGAAGCTTCTGTAGATTTGCTTTGTCATTTGTGGTATGTTTGATAACAAAAATGTTAGTGGCACAAAAGCAGTTATGTTGAATGCGTTTGTTTTAGAGAAAATTTCCCACTCTGTACTAGAAAATGTAGATGATGTGAGTCAAAGTTCATTAATGTTTACCCGAAAATTTGTGTATAAAGGTAACCTTGGGGCAGTTTATTTTGCTTAGCCCCCTCAGCTTCTTGATAGAATGAGGTGAGGGCGTATGTAAGTCAGTAAACTCTTCTGTTAGTAAGGTCAAAGGCTTAATCGAAATTAATTATCCTTTTAACTAACACAGAAGAAATCATGTGACCTCATTCTCAAAGCTCGTAACATCCACCTGGCCAATCTTGAGATGTGGATAGAATTCTTTTTTTTTTTTTTTCAATTTTTACAATAATTTTTGACATGTTGAAGCTGTACATGTTTATGGGGGCACAGTTTGATGTTTCAATACATGTATATGTTGTGTAATGATCAAATTGGAGTGCTTAGCATATCTATCCTGTCATGCATTTATCATTTCTTTGTGGTGAGAACATTTAAAAATCCTCTTTTCTAGCTATTTTGTAATATATACTACCTTACTGTTGCAAGCCATAGTCACCCTACTGTGCAACAGAACACCAGCACTTATTCCTCCTATCTAGTTGTAACTTTGTACCCATTGACCCCCCTTTCCTTCCTTCTGCTCTCCCCTCCCCAGTCTCTGGTAACCATGGTTCTGTTCCCTATGAGATAAAACTTTTTTTAGATTCCACATGAGTGGGATCATGCAGTATTATTTCTTTTTCTGTGGTTTATTTTCCTACACATAATGTCCTCCAGGTTCATCCATGTTGTTGCATGGTGTTAATCTTAGCATGACAGTATGGCCATTTATAGGGCTCATACTTCAATGCCAAATCTTGTTATATGAGGAACCCAGCTATTTCAAGGATCAGTGTTCTCTTACAAAGCCACATTAGCATTTACACCCAGATTTTGCTGACTCAGAATTCCATTGCATGCGAGATCTCAGTCCCCTGAAGAGTCCTCTCCCCAACTATTTTTGGAAGTCTCAGGGGTTTCCTCACTGATTCACAAACAAGTTCACACTCTTGGGTGCAGCCTACTCATGCCAGGCTTCTGTTGGGCCTCCACTATTTCTAATGCTGCTGTTCCTGTAGGAGAATGCTGCCTTGCTTAGATGTTCCCAAACTGTGAAACACTTAAGTTGCCAAAATAGTGCTGTGTTTCCAGGGTACAGCTTCTTTGCCTCTCTTCCAGTAGGGGCCAGTGCATTGTTCTGGGATAGGAACCAACTACTACCATCTCTTATTGTCCTCAGGTCTCCTGTCTTTTCCCCCAGCACCTAAGTACACACCTCTGCAGAAAGCTTTCCCCACACAAGCCCACTTTTCAAAATGTAAATCAACTCCTGCAAAGGATGCCTGGGTAGTTGGCTATCCTTCCTTTTCTGGTAGTATCACCTTTGGCTGAATCATGACCTCCCAGCTTCAC